TATCAGAGTAAATCCCTGTTCAACATGAGTCTGACAACTAAGTAAGTTGTACTTTAGACTTTAACACATGCTCTGATAGGCCGGGATCGGATCGGAATCCGAAGTGAAAAAAGCTGGATCGGGACATCCCTAATTTACCTAACTTAGTTGTCCAAACAAGTTTAACCAAAAAATATTGATTTCTCACAATTATGAAGGGTTAGGGTTAGGACATCGTTTATCTTCTGATTTCGTACAGACAGTAAAGTTTCATTTCCACCTCCTAAAGCTGCTAGTCACATGACCTAATCAAAATGGCCGACTTGGATGTGGGAGGAGCTGGATATCCAGCCGAGGCTCCGGTATCGGATCGGGTCACCCCTACGTTAGCCTACTTACTTAGTAGTAAGACATAGCCTGGGGACATATGGGGACATATAAGAACGGTTGTGTTTGGGTTTCTAAGAACGGGTGTGTTTGGGTTTTCTAAGAACGGGTGTGTTTGGGTTTTCTAAGAACGTGTGTGTTTGGTTCTCAGGAACCTCCAGAGCCGACACGCAGTGCGAGGCCTGTGCGGCCGGCTCTTTCTCCACGGACGGCCTGAACTGCACGCTCTGGACGCAGTAAGTCCTTCTGCCAGACGGGTCACATGACCTCTCACTGATCACATGACTCAAACGGTTCCCACGGGGACAAACGGAGGAAGCTGCTCCTCCACTGACCGTCTAAGGCTTAAAGCAGAACGTTCGTCCACTTTATTCCTCTTCACTTCCTCTAGCTGCTCACAGACCTCCCACTTCAGTGGTTTTATCTCCTGACAGGGTCTGTTTTCCCTTAACTCATTGGCTGCCAAAGAAGTCTATAGACGTCTTTTATGTTTTTCAACGAGAGTGTCTGGGGGACGATCTGCTAAAGCTTGTCCGTAAATATGGGCTTCTAGACAGAGTATGTAGTAACAGATTGACCCTCTAGGGGGCAGTGCCACTTTTGATGTGAGATGAGCATAGACTGTAGGCAAATAAGAAAAAGGGAACGGTTCTATGAGAGAACATGTCGCCGGTGAGACGCAAGTCCAGGAAGAACGGAATAAGGTAGAAACAGGTTTTTTTTCCTGATGAAAGAAGAGAGTCTACTCTTTCTTTTGGTGTGTTCGGTGTTTACATAGTCATAGCACAAACTATTCTGTGGCTCTAGAAAAATCAGTCAAAATGCTCAAAGAACTCTGGCAGTATGGGACTCTGTTCTGAAAATGGCTGCCAGTCAATGAGTTAATAAACCAACCGTTAAGTTGATGGACGATTTAACCCACTTAGCAGCAGGTCAGAGGCCTTTACAGTTTAAGTCTAACGAATTAAAGCTTTCGCCCTTCTCCTTTTGAGCTCTATTTAATTTCAATGTCACTGCAAATTTCTAAGAAAAAACAAACAAAACCGCAGCGTGTGTATCAAATTCCACAGAAACCATGTCCAAAGACCTCCCACTTTAATCAAACCCGAGGCTCCTCTTCCCTGGTTCTGTCTGGTCCCACTTCCTCATTCCTGCAGCTGCTTTAATTCCTCCTGTCTGAAGCCTCTTTATTAGGACCAAACCTAAACCTTTCTGTTTTTCTACAGGTGCCCTGAAGGCCAAATAAAGGTAAAAGAAGGAAGTCTGACCGGTGACGTCGTCTGTAGCAGCGCACACAGGAGCCGTCCTGGGATAGCTGGGGCTTTTACCGTATTCGGTCTAATGGTTATTGGCGTTTTAATAAAAGGTCTGTGGCAGTTTTAACCAACTCACTTATGTCACTTGAATGCATTTAACAGAATAACACTTAAAAAGCATTTTTTCAATTAATTGCTGCTTCATTTACCTGAAACAAACCCTTTTTTTTTCAATATTTCAGGTCAAATTGCCAAAAAATGAGAGTTTGCATGTTCCAGAAGACCTTCAATGACTTTTTTTTATTATTGACATCCAACAATTCCCAAATTGTTGTTTTTATGAGGAGTTTCATGCAAATGCCTTAGAAGAAACACGCTGCCCAACAACAGAACGCGGTCCGTCTGTAGAAGCTGCTCAGAACCAGCTGATGACGACGAGGTTCGATCGAAGAAAAAAACAAAAAATAAATTGGTAGAAAAGGCAGAATCTTGACTTTTTTGAAAACCTTTTTTGGTTGTTGTTGTTTGGGACCAATTCAGAGGTTTAAGTCTGAAGTAAAAGAAAAAAGAAACAAGGTTTTGTTTTAGAAAGTTCATAATTTCACTTGTCTGAATGACCTAATGTAGCTTTTGCACAAACATGAATTAATTCTGATTTGTTTTAATTCTGAATGTTTAGCGTTTGTGTGATGATCTAATCTTACTTACTTACTTTTGTGTGACGACAGCTATTAATGCAATAATGAAACGAGGCACCTTGCTTGCTGCTTTTATGATGAACTGATTAATATTGTTCCAGGATCTTGTGCCTTAGTAAAGTTCCTCCTCCGTTCCCAATGCTGCTCTGTGTAATGGACCAGCTGTGTGTATCGCCATGGTTACATGCTCTTTTTGTGTCTGATGTGTGTTTGAATGCTGCATCTGTTGTTAACTCTGATTAAAAACTTGTATTAAGTTCTTCTTGTCTTCGTCTGTGTTAGTCATGCTTTTTGTTTTCTTTGGGTCAGACAATAGTAATCCACAAGAATGTTTTACCTTGTTATGGGAATAACAAGGTAAAACATTACCATTACTATTGTCTAACCGAAAGGAAACAAAAAGCATGTCTGATTAAAAACCTTTGTGCACTTGACCCGCCTGCGTTCGGCCTTTGATCAGGACCTCCTGGACCAAACTGTTAGCAGCTTATCCGGCTTAGAAAAGACTCATTTTAACCGTTTTCTGCTTCAAACTGAGCGATGGACTCAACTACAGTCAAAAATGTACTTCCTTATTTCTTATATTTACACAAGATGGGTGAATGCTAGTGCTAAATCATGGTAGCATTAGATTATGTGTGTGTGTATATATACATATATGTGTGTGTGTGTATAATTATCTTCTATTATCCTTAAAGTTCTAGATCTTTTTCTAAATGCTTTTGTCCCATAACCTAAATAAAAATGTACCCACCATGTTCTGTCTGATTTCCTGTCTGTAAATGCAGCTTTTGTTGAACATATTTATTTGATTCCTGTATTCTTTCTAGATGGGGTTTTGTTTAACCGCTGGTATTTGTTTTTGTTTTTTTATCTCTGCTGACCTCTTCTGGTTGGAGGCCTCACTTTCTGACAGCAGCCCACAGCTAATCAGCCTAAATTATTAACAAGAATAAAACCCTAACAGTAGTCGATAAGGTGGCAGCCCAGGGAGGGGAGACAGAAACCAACACACTCATCTGATCTTAAAGCTTCATTTCTCCATCAGCTGAACAGCTCCAAATCTCCTTTTGTCTCAGTGTAACAGACCCGTATCGTCCTGTTTTATATCCACAATCTGTAACTCCAGCCTTAATAATCAGCCTGTCTCACCAGCTTTAGACTTTTATACTCGCCTAGTTATTCTGCTACTTTTACTAGTTATTCTGCTACTTTTACTAGTTATTCTGCTACTTTTACTAATTACTCTGCT